GGGGCTCCGGCCCGCGGGGATGCATGGGGATGGTGGAAAAAGCAGCCTGGCAGGCGGGCTGGGATTTGGGGAGGGGAGTGAGGTGGGTTGTCTGGGGGTGCCAGGGCAAGAGCCCCTCGGGACCGGCACTGCAAACCTCCATGGGGGCTGCATGCCACGGGGGTGTGAGCAGCTTGGGGGTGGCTGCTTGCTGCAGGGAGCAGGATGCTCCAGCCCTGCGACTCCCACCCAGGACGCGGAGCCCCCCCACCCCAGCCCCACAGTGGGGCTGGATCCCGCCAAGACCCAGGGAGTCCGTGGCTTGGGTTTGTGCCGGTGCCTCAAGGCCAGCACCCGCCTTCGCTCTGCCGCTGCCCCTGGGGCAGTGTGGGGAAGGGGACCTGTGATTTACGGGGGTGACATGTGTTTTACTTAAAACAAGTCAAACAAAAGCCCGGTTTGTTTTGCGGAGCGCAGACTTCCTGGGGGGGTCAGCCCAGACAAATGACTCTGCTCCCGTTCATTAAACATTTGCGGCCAGCCACGCCATCAGCTGGTGCTGGGGACAGCATTCCCGGCTGAGCTGGGACAAACTTCTCCCCTTCCCAGACTTTACAGCATGAGGGATTTCTGATGTCCCCTGCCCCGACATAGCTGTCCCCCCCCAGCACAGCTATGCCAAAGCTGTGCCCCAGGGGTACTGGCTCCCCGTGATGATGCTGTGCAGATGTCAGAGGATGGCAATTTGACGTGCCAGGAGCAGGCTGGGGGCATGTGTCCTGCCAGCACCGCAGCAAGGGTGGCGCGGGGGCTGTGTGACAGAGGAGGGGTGCAGGGCTGGGGGGGGCTACCCCCGGCGTGTTTGCTGAGGGGGGTGCGGAGGCAGCAGCGGAGGGCAGAGGTGCTGTTGCCACAGGACAGCCACGGAGGTAGGGCTACCTGTAATCTGTAACGATTAGGAAGCTGTTTCCAGCCGGGGTTTATAGCCAATAAAGCCAGCTCAGCACAACTGCTGGGGCATTAACTCTTATCCGCCCAGTGGGACCAGAGCCCTGGGCTCTGCCTTCGGCTCTGAAGAGACGAGACGCCCGCGGCAGGGCATGGCACGGCCCTCCTGCGCTGGGGACACAGCCAGCACCCTGCACCGGTGGGACGTGCCACCCCGGCACACACTGCCAAAGCCCCCGGCCTCAGCTCCCTTCGCCTGCCGCCCGCCGCGTGGGGGGACGCAGCCGGAAGGGCGAAGGCTCTGTACCCAAACTCCTGAGGGGTTCAGCTGTACAAAAGCCGTGTCCCGCTTAATTAAAAGCAGACCTGCTGTAATGAGCCTGCCAGCACACCAGCGTGGCTCGGGCAGCTCTGCTACAGCGGAGGCTGGGACTCAGCCCCGCCATGGGACTGGGACACACGGTGGCCCAGGGACTGGGAGCCAGGGCAGGGTCACCCTGTGACTCCCTGCGAAGCCTCATCTCCCTTTGTGTCCTCCCAACCCCCCGAGGAAACACAGCCTGCCTCCGACCCAGCCTGCTGCTGCTGAACACCTCGCCAAAAGTCATCCCTAAAACTGTCCCTGGAGCGGGGCCTCCGCTGGGTCCTTCCTCCCTGCACAGGGTCCCATGCCACCCCGGGGCTGTCGGCTCCCATCGCACTGCCCAGCCGTGCCAGCACCGTGACGGCCAGCGAACGTGCCTGCCCTGCAAGGGAGACAGCCTCTGAGGCGCAGCACCGGGAGGAGGCTGCTCTCTGCTTTGGGTCCT